CTTACTTTGCAGCATTTTTTCACACCTGCCTAAAACATTTGCACGGTACTGTATGTCCAAATTGTCCCACATTCATATCATCTCCATGAATATTCTCAGAATTGCAATACAAGTTCCCCTCCCTCACACATTGCAACTTTTGGAATGGTAGAGCTGCTAGACTGGAGTCTCTACTTTGTTTTAAACTTTGCTGTTTTAAAGATACAGCATGGCTATAGTTTAGCATGATTTTAGAGGTGGGAAGAAGTTGGGCGATCATTGTACAGCTTCCTTTCCCAACAAACCAGGTACCTTTAAATGAGTTGGACTTTAATCTCCCTAAATAGGGCTACCAGGTCTGGTCTACAAAAATCTGAATGCCCACTAGATGGCAACAAAATGATACAGAAAACTCAGCTCTTCTTTACTGGACATCTGGAACATTACAACCCAGATCTGGTAGCCCTACCGTACTATACTAGCTCAGCGAATGGCATACTGAAGCCCAACACATATGGAGGTTACCTAGTTTATGAAAGCTGTGGAAGCATCATCCTTTGGCCTTCGTTTTGATGACTGGCATGGCTGCAATGATTAAGACTGTGTTCTATTCAAAAGGTATTAGGCATGTCTGAGCATGATATTCAGCTTGAATCAGAATAAACAGTGTTTTAAGGCTTCTATTTGAAGAACTTTTCTAACATTTCACAGAAACTATTTGCTGCTCTTTTAAGGATGTAGTAACACAGAGAGCTGTTCCATTCTATCCAGTGATTTCAATCACCTTGGAGTAATACTTGGGCTGTTTCACTGCTGGTTAGTAATCATTCATCCAGAAAAGCATTTTAAATGGCCTGGCACTAGTATTTTGAAGAGGAATTCACAGAGAAATAAAACTGCAGCACAGTTTAATTCAAATGTAGGAACGCTGAATTAGTCCTTCCACACATTTTTTATTTTATTTACTTTTATTTATTATTAAATTTATATGCCGCCAATATTCCCAGAGGGTGACTCTGTTCACACATGTACACAACCCCCTCCTCCCAAAGTCTAAGTGTATGAAAAGATATAAAACATTTAACCTGACCAAAGTCTTAGGTTTCTAGTTTTTGATGATGATGATGATGATGATGATGATCCAATCTAAACATCTGGCTGACTGTGAGACCAACCATAATAATCCTTTCCCCCAGATATCAGAATATAAAAAGAAAGCTTTAGGAAAACATAACCAGATAGGACATGTGTGTAGAAGACTTTAACACAATACTCATTTTTGGGAGGAAAAACAAAAAGCAGAAATCTGTATTGAGTCGAGTTTGACTTTATATTTGGCATGTTTGTCTACTAAAAGTCTGAGTCCATGTCAGTGTAAAAGTGTCTGTTAAAGAAGCCTCTAGCAAATGAAAAGTATTCCCAATGAAGAGTTTCAAAGAAATTGAATGGTTTTGCTTATGTTCTTTTTGGCAGGATAATTGAAGCAATTTGCATCGGCTGGTTCACGGCAGAGTGCATTGTGAGGTTCATTGTCTCCAAAGACAAGTGTGAGTTTGTTAAGAGACCACTGAACATCATTGACTTGCTGGCTATCACTCCATATTATATTTCTGTACTGATGACAATATTTACAGGGGAGAATTCTCAGCTTCAGAGGGCTGGAGTCACCTTACGGGTTCTGAGAATGATGCGGATTTTTTGGGTGATTAAATTGGCCCGCCACTTCATCGGCCTCCAGACACTTGGCCTGACTTTGAAGCGATGCTACAGGGAGATGGTGATGCTGCTTGTCTTCGTTTGTGTTGCGATGGCAATTTTCAGTGCCCTTGCCCAACTCCTTGAACATGGACTGAAAATAGGGAAACCCAATGAAGGCTATGCAAGCATTCCTGCTGCTTGTTGGTGGGTTATCATCTCCATGACCACGGTTGGTTATGGAGATGTCTGTCCCATCACAGTACCTGGAAGGATTCTTGGAGGGATTTGTGTAGTCAGTGGGATTGTTTTGCTAGCCCTGCCTATTACGTTCATCTACCACAGCTTTGTGCAGTGTTATCATGAGCTCAAGTTCCGATCCGCTAGATATAGCAGGAGTCTCTCTGCTGAATTTTTAAATTAACAAATAGCACAATTGCATTTCATAGCATCACTTAATATATTGAAGAAATTAATAAGTCCTTCTTCACTACTTTCCATCTTGGTGTCTGAGGAATTAAGAAGCCAGTACCCTATGACTTAAGAGGAATACTTCTCTCATTGAGGGATGTTCACTTGCTCTTCACCCCGGAAGAGCTGAGATTCATAAGGGAGAAAACAGCTTCATTTCCATAGTCTCAGCAGGTGTGAATGTCTCCAACTCATTTCTCCAAATCTTGAGAAGTCGTAAATGGTATGCACTATTTAGAGCTAAGCACATATATGTGTGTTTTTAAAATACTCTTGATTTTGAAATGCATTTCAAATAACATCTATCAATAAGAAGTGGCCAACCTTTTAATCACCAGGACCCATGCTTAACAGTCTGTGAATAGTCAAGGGCCAGGGTATTGGAGGTGCAAAGGGGCAGAGCCAAGAAGTTCTTCCTTTTTTTCCCCTTGGACTTTTGGTCAGAATGGGAGGGTTGCTTTTATTTTATAAACCATGGTAAGTCTATTTTAGGGCATTCTGGAGGTATTTCTCATGTCAAAATGCAGGAAACTATGCCACCAATTTTCAGTAACTGTAGTCAGAGATGGCTCCATGGGTGCAAAAAGTAGTCTTGGGGGGCCAAATGTCTTGGAAGCCTTAAATTGCTCCCTTCATACATACATACACACGTATTCACACAAACACACACATTTATTTTTCAGGAAAACACTGGTCAGATCCAAATTTATGTAGAACAAACTCATCAAAATCAGTGAGATTTGTTAGTTATCCCTATTTTGTCCAATTCATTTCAGTGAATTTTTTCTAAATGTGATTCATTCTGGATCTGACACATTATGCATCTTGGTTACAATATAAGCAACCAAGTGACCAGTATTGTGCACCAAGAGTTATGGGGAGAGTTGTGATTATTTTTAAAGTTACATGAAAGCTACTCATGAAAGTTGGGTACTGTGATTCAGTATGGGGAGAAGAGGCTGCTCTTCCAAGAGGAGAAAAGTAATCAGAATGGTGGGATACAAATTGAATAGTAATAGCAGTAATAGTAATAGTAGTAATCAAGGACAATCTTCAGAGCAGACCCACTGAAGCTCTCTGGATTGTAGCTTTTTGTTTATGAATTGCAATTTACAGCAATAGTACAAATGTGTTTGGGAAAAATCATTGTCCCCCTTCCCAGAATCTGCTGTTGAGGAGAAAACCAAAGCTATGTTTAAAACCTGCCTACAGAAAAAATGGCATGATATTTTGAAGCACTTAATGGCCACAAACTGGAGATTTGAATATATCGTACCATTGCTAGTGCCATGCATGCTTATTTTTGCCATCCTTTCCATTCACAAGTCTTGCACATTCCTTTAGTACATCAACAATGTCAGAAAAACAAAGTTCAGAGACATAATTAGATAAAGGAAATGATATATGAAACACGAGCAATGATTTGTATGTTGCATTTGACTCTCTTGAAAAAGTATTTACATTTTTCCCCATTAATCGTATGTAAAATAAGAGTCCCTCCTTAATATGCCCTGACATCAATAATTTTAAAATACCACTATAGAGTTTTTCTCAGAAGCTTATCCAACTAAAGACTTACTAAAAGTAAACTCTATCATTTATTTGCATATAAAAACATTAGTTAAAAGTTACTCTGAATCCTTTAATGATTTGAAGAATGAAGAACATGGCAGTCAGACCACTACTACATTTAATCTGATCCTTTATGGTGCTACTGTCACCTCAGGGAATAATCTGACCTTTGTTAAAGTCAAGTAAATCTGTATTAAAACATTTGAGGTCGGTAAAGTTTCCAGATTAGAGATTTACAAATGAGATGACAACTGTCATTTCTGTTGTGCGTGTGTGTGTGTTTCTGACACATTTTTCTGTGGGCCCAATTTTTTTTCACCTTTTTCAAAAATGTCTAAAATTCCAATCCTAGTAATTTTTACATGGCAATAAGTCAAAGTGATGCAGTGGAACCAAAGATGAATTATTGAAGAAAGCTGCCATGAAACATAACTTTGAATTGTTGACAATTTGCTGGATGTTTTCAGGGAGGGTTTGCTATGTGAGCTAAATATGAGTTATATTGCAAACTAAGCTTCATTACTATGAAGACTTTTTTTAAAAAAATACCTTGCATTCCCCCATTTCAAATTTATTAAAATCACAATACAGTATCCAGAATGATGGTTATTGATGAGTTCAGATCCTTGCTGCTCCATGAAATGATTAGATAGCCCTGTGCAGGCTTTTGTCTCACAGCCTGAATCAGAGATTGTTAAGAACATTAGAAGAGCGCAGCTGGATCAGGCCAAGTGCCCACCTAGTCTCCTGTTCTGTCTCACAGAATGATCAGCTGGGTAGCTTCAGGCAATAACCTTCATTGGCTGTTGTTTCCCAGCAGCTGGTTTTCGGAGGTTTTGCTACCTGGGAATTAGGAGATAATATTTAGCTACTCAGCCGTGGATTTATCCAGCCCCCTTAAAAACGTAAAAATTTATGGCCATTACTGTAGTTGATAGCAATGAATTTCATAGTTTAACTACCTGTTATACAAAGAAATACATCCCTTTATCAATCCTGTTGTGTGAATAAAATGGATAATGCCATATACCCAGACCTGAGTGCCTTGGAGGAAAGATAAATATAACTGTGACAGTAAATATACATAGGGAAATCAAACAAATTTATATCTGATATATGGAATAATTCTCCAAATTAAATTTTGTGTGGAAAAAAGGCAATGGAAGAATAGTTTTACAAAGTAACAGCTATGCTCATTCAGTGTCTAGAGAAAATACCCCAAATTATCATTTTAATCCTTTGGCAAAAACTGGCTACATTTCCCCTGAGTTTTTTTTTGGGGGGGGGGGGATCATGGTCACTAAAACCTTTCCCTTTTTTAATATAATAAACATACTTTGGATTATCATGAAATTTATATCAATTATGTTGCATTCAAATGGGATTTGTTATCTTCAAGTCCAGTAGTGATCCTTATTAAGAGAAATATATCTGAACAAATATCCTTCCAAATAATGTATTGACTGAACAAATAAAAATAAAACTCAGTTTCACTGATATGCAAAAGGAGCTGCTAGCTCAATGTAAGTTGTACTGTGTAAAATATAGTATGTGTTCTGTATTAAATGTAGAACTGGATTAAAAAAAATCTTGTTCTTACACTTTGTGTTCTTACACTATGTGTAACAATGTGTTCTTACACTAACACATTTAGTGGTACTTTTTATATGAGTTAGAAAAGCTGCCATAGAGACCTGTGCTGTAAAAAATGAATATACATACTCATCACATCATTCCCTTTTAGGGTAAGCAACGTTATGCAAAGTGCAGAAAAGGAGTAAGAAATAATAAGCCAAAGAAATTAACCAATGAGGTAAGAAAAAGAAAAGGCAATATTGCTAATTTTAGTCTACACCAGCACCATTCAATACTCCTCCCCATATCTTTCTACCCCTGCAAATCATCCTTGCTACTATATGTCCATACATCACTTCATGCATTGTCCTTTATTCTTCTCCTTCTCATCTCTCATTTTTGAATTTCTCATCAACTCTACCCAACCATGACTTTTTAGTCTTACCTTTCCATTTGACCCATTCCCTCTTTCTTCATATATTTGTTTTGCAATTCATTCTTATGACCAAACCAGCTCAACATAGCTTTATGCTGTTCATTAATTTGCTACCTTTCCTCTGTTTTGGAGAACAATAATGTCCTTCTTCCATAGGTGCAGTTTTCACTCATATGTTAAACAAGTCACACAGCCATTCCATAAGGAAACGACATCCATATTTTAATCTTTCTCCAGTTATGCCATCAGCACTTGCAGTTTTATCACATTTTCACATCATTTATTAGTTCTTTTTAATAAATTTTTCTTGAGCATTGAGTTTTTTTAAAATCCTACCTTTCAACATATACTTCTCTACAATTCTTCTTCCAGGATTCCCTCACTTCAGTTTCATCCTAACTGAATTCCTCATCAGAATTACTCTGCATTTTCTTTTCATTTTTCTTAATTATTCTTTGCTCTCCTTGATTACAGTCTTTGCAGCTCTTTTCTCTATTACTCAATACCTTTCTCTCATCCTCTTATGTGCATATTTCCTCAGTCACAGCCTCTTCCACTTCATCATTTCACCAAGCATTCCTTTTCATACTTCCTAAGTCCACATATTTCTGTGTCACTCTGCGACATAATTCTTTTCATTCAGTTCCAAGCAGCTTTTACATCCTCTTGCCTTATGTCCAGTTTCCATTCATTTTGTTAAGAAAGTAATCTATAATATTTTTATGGAACTCATCATTTCTCTTCTTGCAAGTATTGCATTTTCATGCCAGGTTTTTTTTTTGCATCCTTTCTTTCATGTCTGTTATTCTGCCCAATAATCTGTAAGAAGCTCCCATCTCCACTGTGTCCATTACCAATTATCTCATCATGAATCATTAAATCATAAATAGTTATTTCAATAATCCTTTTTGATTCAATCCTGTTCCATATGTATGCATGAATAGACATGCTTAAACCAAGTATATATTTTTATACTATAATCATTATGACTCTCAGCAGCATGCAAAGATAAAACATCCATTACAAACATAAATACAGTAACAGCATTCAAAAATAGAATAATAAAGCCCCCAAAACAAAACAACATATTTTCTGATAGCATTATTTAATAATAAAGCCAGTTTGCTTTAATGGATAAGGTGCTGGAGTAAAAACCAGGAGCCTGTGAGTTCTAGTCCTTCTTTAGGCATGAAAGCCAGCTGGGTGACTTTAGGCCAGTCCTTCTGTCTTAGGCCAAGGGTGATGGTGGTGAGGAAAACAGTAGGCAGGAACATTATGTACACCACCTTGAGTTGTACAAAATAAAGGCAGGATGTAATAATAGCAACTCATACTATTTCTAATTTTAAAAAACCTCTGGAAGGGTTTTACTTTAACTTGCTTTC